ATATATATATATATATATATATATATATATATATATATATATAGAGAGAGAGAGAGAGAGAGAGAAAGGGTTTACATGGTTTATGTTTGGTTGACAGCAGATTGATAAATCAGCCTCAGCCTCCAAGTGGGAGATTTTACCTCGGAATGTGGATTGTCTTTTGACCTCATTGTTGCTTCTTAAGTTTAGCAATAGGTCCCATTCTTACCTACAAAATACACATATCAAATCTAACACTCTTTTGATCTCTCAGGAGATCTAAACATAAAACACTTTACAAGAATGGAAGCATACAATCAAAAGCAAGGCAAAGGGTTTATGTGTGTGAGCATAATAGATCTGAACTCAGTGAAATGAATGGCGTACATGTTATGGTACAACTATAGTGGCAACTAGAGCAGTAGTTACGTTGCTTGCTCGAAGATTTAAATCTATAGTACCTAATATCAGTTGGATTGAAATTGACATGCTCATGCCTTTGAAATCAATACCACACCTTATTTGTACCATTGTTAAAATTGTGCTATCTTTTCATCAAATAACAACCAATTTTCGTAGTTATTATTAAGTAAGCTCTCTGTTTTTTTAGGATAATGTTATAAATAAATACCAACTTTTTAAAATGTTCAAAAAACACTCTTAAACTAAAACTATATTATCAAATGTAAGATATTCAACTTTTGTTCAAAAAGTACCATAACAAAAATTGGCCATGTTGGTTCAAAAAAATACACCAACCTCGTGGAATGTTTGTTCAGAAAAATTGCAAACCACTTCAATTAAAAACCACTCACCACCTCCACCACCACCCATTCTTTTACTTTTCTCTGCAGATTTTCCAGTTGGCACCACAGCTTTGACACTCCCACTGACTCTTAAGTACCAACCACTGTAAGCTCAGTCAATCTTGCATTTCTTCCACAGCCATTATCCTTGATTGCAAAGCTTCTCTTCCATCGATTCTTATCCGTTCTTCTTCTGTAGGTTCAGTTGCATTCAAGCCACAATAAGGAGGAAAATCTCGAACCCCAAAAACTCTTCTTTTGAGGAAAAGTCATCTTTCGTATAGATTCATTGATAACACTACCACCATCATCATCGGTCTCAACCATTGAATTAACAGGGCCCTGATTTCATCCTTCAACATGGTTTGATTGTCTACTTTCTGAAACTCCACAATCATCCACATCTTTCCAACTTCTATAGATTTTGACATGTCGTGAGATAAAAGTTTAACCTGTGTTTCCATTGTCTCAATATCGTTATCTTGATTATTCTTATTGATCGATGATGAAGATGGATTAACTTCCAGAGAACCCATGATCGGTCCACAACCTCACGGATAATCCCTAACAGAAGACACGTTGCAGGGATTCCCTTCACATGGAGAAACAGAAGCCCCATTAAAGAAACAAATACCATTCTGATTTCGACCTCTTATCACACTTCCATCAGTTAAAAAGTCGTCCGGCATAAGCACCATTATCTAAAAGAAAATCAACCCTGGATTCCTGAGCACCTAACCGATAATCAAACAGATAATTAACAAATTAAGAATGAACATGATTTAGGGTTACAAAAAGAAATAATGAGTAGAAAACCTGTAGCGAAAACTGAAACAATCGGGTGCTGGTGGTGGTGGTGGTGGTGAATAGTGTTTGGAGTGATCGACCCTTGCAATCTAACCGATACTAACATAAGATATATACTAACATAACATAGGAAGAAAAAGTTTTAACTTCCAATGTTACCTTAAATTGTCCCCGGAGATCTTCCGAATTTTATCGGCCAGATTTCTTGCTGTTTTTCTTCGACCTTCTACGGTTCTACCTTCCCGGAAAATCTGAGGAATCTATTTATAATTTTATAGGATAAGGCATCTCCAAACCACGGCAAAACTCTATTTTTCCCCCATTTTTTTCCCGGTTCTTCTCGAACTCTAACCTATTTTCACCACCATTTTTTTTTATATGAATAGTATTCCCCATATATAAGTAAATACTATTCATATCTCCAAAAATAGAGTTGAAGTTTGGTTGCTAATTTTAATCTCTCTTATTTTTATTTTATATATTTCTAGTTTATTTTATCTATTAATTATAATTTAAATGCAAAATTTAATATTTATAATATCATGTTATATACTAATTTATATTAATTAATCATAAATATAAAGTTTAATTAGTAGAGGGGTGTATTTGACAATATATATAAGTTATAAAAATGGAATATTTTAGGAATATACTTTTTGGAGTAAAAAATGGGGTAGAAAATGGAGTAGGGTTGGAGATGAAACACTATTTACTCGATTTTTTATTCCATTTATGAGGGAAAAAAATAGAGATGGGTTGGAGATGGTCTAACAATGACGCATGATTTGAATTTACACTCTAGCCCTTTTTATTTCTTTTACCTCTTAGGCCTTGTTTCCGAGTTTTTTTTAATTCATTAAAAGAAAAGGAAGGAAAATATTGACAGAAGGAAAGGGAGGGGAAGGAAAATTTCTTTATTCCGTGTTCCCGAGTTTGAACGAAATAAAAGGAAAATTTTAAGTTTATGTGTTCCCGAGTTAGGAGAGAAAAGAAAAAAAATTAAAAAGATTACAATTATACCCCTATTTACACATTATGATTATAACATATAAACAATATGAATCAACTAAAGTGGAAATCAAAATCAATCAAAAACTTTTTAATCAAACAACCAAACTAATGAAATAAACTCAAGTCAACAAAGAAAAACTATAAAATCAAAATTACAACTTTACAAATGAAGTCCAATGCAAACTACTATAAAAAAAATAAAAAAAACCATAAAACTTCAAGATATGATTCACTTTTTAGCTCCATCCATCGTCTTTCTTAGAAATATCTTTCTCATCTTCATTGAAGAACTAAAAATTGTCCTAGCATCAGCTTGATTACGCAACAAATATATGAAAGCATCTGCAAATTCATCGACATCCAACCCCATCAACTCTAATTCTTTCTCGATTTCTTCACCAGTATAGTCACGAGATTTATTCCCTTCCCTCATAACATCAACGATTTCTTTAAATGTTTGCACAATAGTGTGTTCAAAAGTTTCTGGTTGTGCTTGAGGTTGAGGTTGAGGTTGAAGTTGAGGTTCAGGTTCAGGTTCAGGTTCAGGTTCAACCACTACCTCATCTTCATCTTGAAGTTTTCTTTCTAGTTTTCTTTTTTTACTTTTTAGCTTCTTGGCTTTTGAACTACCATCAGGTGAAACATCCATTGCTAACACTACTTGAATGTCCTCATCATCATCTTTGTATTCTTTATCCAGAATTACCTCATTATTTGCCATTAGGTTATCCACATCAGCAACTTTTTCTATTTTAATTTCTGTGGATTTGCTTAACCAGGCATTTTTTTTCTTTTGTTGTTTCCGCTTTTGATCCCGATGCTCTATCATCTGCAAATCACATCACCAACTGATCATAGTTTGAAATTTTTTTCGTCCTAAATGCAACTGCGTCAGGGTTTGCCTGTTTATAAACAAACCTAAAAATTAATTAGTAAAGTTAGTGGTACAAAAAAATATATATAACAATAAATCAAATGTAAAACCAACATGTATAGTAATTAATTGTTCCCATACTTCCTCCTCTACTTCAATGTATTTTGTGTGAGAATTCCAGGAGAACCCACTCAACGAAGTACCCCGATGCATATCATACCATTTACTAAAATTACCTTTTAAGGTTTTCATTCGGTTTTTTATTTGATCTTTTGTAATAGGTCTGTTAAACTCTTTAGTCATCCCTGCAATCATGTTCGTATATGCTTGTGAAGTGAATGTACCATGCACTCGATTACCTAGTTTATCTTCCTTTACAAGAGCTTCAACGAGAACATTATCCATATGATCTGTCCATGTCAAATTTTCTTTTTTCACTACACTTCCATCAGCTGCTCTTCTGGTCATGATTGCTCTATACAAACAAAGATAGTATAACGAACCATACATTGTTAACCAAAAATTTGACAAATATATACAAAAAAAGAGGGCTCATAATATAAATATCACCATTAAAAAATCAAGTTGCAAATATCATGTCACACCCCCAAACCAGAACGGCGGAATCGTTCGAGGGCGGATGATTTCATGTAGTATCGTAACAGCTGAATACATAGTAAAGAAAGTAAAACAACCATCATATATATAATTTGAAAGTTACATTGTTGAATGATACTTGTTTCAAAACAAATTACAATATGATGACAAAATGAGTTTTAAACTGACGTCTTAGCGTCACTTCTCCAAAAGCTGAAGTTTACCTGTATTACTGAATCCCTGAGAAATACAAGTAAATTTGAAAGAGTAGATCAGCATTTAAGCTGGTGAGTTCATAAGTATTTAATGTCAATGTTTGTATAAATTTGAATGAAATTGTTTGTAGATGTTTGAAAACTCCTTGAAAATCCCATATTTCCTACTAGTATAAAAGTAGTCTTCTACCAAGACCCGACTGTTTTTGAATGTTTGC